TAATAAAAAGAATATTTCTCGAATTTTTCATTTCATTGAACTTTTTTTAAACAATAACACATAAAGAAAAATAAACTGAAATAGATGTCAGTAAAGTATATATTAGAGGTTTATTGTCGAATTTTTATTGGTTGAAAAGAAAACATATACGTAAATGATACAAACAAAGAGAAACTTTCGAAATAAAATAGTAATTCTTAGTTTGGATTATAATATGGACGAGAACTTACATAACGGTAATATTTGTCATGTTAATTCAAGAGGTCTATTCAGTAGGTTTATGTTTATGAATGTAAATATGAGACTGAGGGCTTGTTATATCAAAAATGATTTAAATATGTATGTATATGCGATTTGAAGTTCGATTACAGAAACATAAAAGTAGAGTATTATTATTCGAGCATCATTATGAAAAAAATATCTATATTAGTGAGACAGTTATCTAGTTAAGAGTTTATGTTTATAGTCGATATTTCATATTTCAAAATAGATCTATTAGAAAGTATTACAGAGAATAAGGATGCATTTCTAGAAAAATTGATGTCTTGAATTGTGAAGATTCTATTTAGTCTTTCAGTTTTTCTTTATTGAATTTTAGATTACAATAGAAATTTTAAACGATCAGTTTTGTAATGCATTATGATCAGACTAATTTTTTATAGATCATACTTCGCCTTCATTCGTACTATTTGACAAACCTATTGTAGAAATATCGACGCAACATATGCATTACTATCAGAATTTTAAAAAAGGTTGTCCGACGAAATATTTATAATTTTCTAACCAAAAGAGCCGGACTCCTGTGGCTTTGACTACTCGAATCGCGACTAGTGAAGGCCACAGAACTCTAGCTATTTTAAAATTCAGACCGTAGTGTTAGTTTGTCTGGATATTATACCTAGTTTATACCATTTGATAAGATGAACATGATAAAATTTTTTATTACAAGGTAATTCTCAAGTACAAATTCAAATGGTTTGTTCATAGTATGTAATATGACTCTGTTTGAATACATAAACACAATGAGCTCTTAGCATAGACTTCATAGAATTAATTTTACTCGGATGTCTTTGAATAGATGAAAAATAAAACAATATTTTTTGTCCATAATTGATCTTATTAATTGTGTTATATTTTTTTTAGATTAATATAAAGATCTTCATTAAAACACTAAGATGGCAATGCAAAAGCGAGCAAACCTTCGTCTACCACCTGAAATAAATCGAATTTTATATGTACGCAATCTTCCTTATAAAATTACTGCTGAAGAAATGTATGATATCTTTGGAAAATATGGTGCCATTCGTCAGATTCGTGTTGGTAATACGCCGGATACAAGAGGTAAACAAATCTTCTATGAAAAATATTTAATTTAATCTTATTTATTTTAGGCACAGCTTTTGTAGTTTATGAAGATATATTTGATGCCAAAAATGCTTGTGATCATTTATCGGGATTTAATGTTTGTAATCGTTATTTAGTTGTACTCTATTACCAAGCAACAAAAGCTTTTGATAAAATCAATTTAGATAAAGAAAAAGAAAAATTAGCTAAAACACAAGCAAAATATGGATTAAATACATAATTTTCTTTAATATATGTAATGTTTTTTTTTGTTGTTGTTGTTGTTGTGTACGATATATTTCACAAGAAGGAGATATAAATAAAAAAATTTTGAATTGATCTTTTCTCTTTTATATATATCCGAATTAGAAAGGATGCACTTATTTTATCAAATATTGATTTCAATCTTTTCGTGTAAGATTTAGAGGTGAAAAACGAGCACGAAATATGTTTATGTATGTGGTTGGCGGTTTCAATGAGAGATTAGAAGTAGTAAATGTAAAGAAGATATTTTTGTTCTTTAGTTTTAGAGTTTTTTTTTTCTTCTTTTACTTTAAAATACAAAAAGAAAGAATGGAAAAAAACGAAGTTGTCGCTTTCATCAATGAATGAGAGTAAAAGAAAGCAAGTTTAGTTGTAAATTGAAACCAAAGTAAGATCTTTCGTCTTTTGCACACATTCTTTAACTATTCATCTCTGTAAAATAAGTTGACAAATCTATTTCGAACTTCTTTTCTTCCTTCTATTTACCGCTTCAAGATATATTGACTCTGTATATCAGCCAACTCTTTCGTTCGATATTTATCCATCATCATCATACTTTTAGTTATAAGCAAAGCATTCAACCATTCGTCACCGAATGACATAATTTCAAATTCAGTACGTTTTTTTTCTCTTTCGTTTCATTGACGCTCTCTCGTCGTCGTCGTTATCGATAAGAGAATGTTGAAAGGAAGCAGAGTAACAAAGAGTAGAGAATTAGACATACAGGTAACTCACCATTTCTTTTTCCTGCATAAAGCGATGTAAAATCGTAGGCGTGCATGAAAAAATAGCTGGCGTGAGACAAACCGCAAAATTGTACATATTATAAGACGAGAAAAAAAATGAAGTAAAGAGAGAAAGAGAGAGAGAAATAAACAACCTTGAAAAATTGGATCTATCATCACAAGGTGAAGAAAATACAAAAGAATAAATTTCCTGTTCGAAAATAACAAATATCAATTTTCGTATTTTTTCTTAATAATGCAGATTCCATTTACGACAATTATTCAAATGTAATCTACGGTCAGTTTGTTAGTGTTGTTTTTTTTTCTTTCCTTCTTATTATTACAATTTCATCGTGTCAATAATAAGTGTATACATTATGAAACAACTTGTTTTTTTTTACATTCAGTTACCGTCATTTTTTCATGTTTTTTAAGTTCTATTTTTTTCATTTCATTCTGTTCAATTACATTTTATATATTTATATTTTTTAAGTAGCCCTATTGATGAATCAACAATAGAGATTGTCCACTAAGATTGTCAGTATCCATTTTTTTTCTTATCAAATAAATTGAGTATTAATGAGAAAGAAAAAAAAACAACTATATATATAGTTATATGACTACTACCAAAATTGACAGTATAAGATCAGAGAAAGAGAATTTCTTGTATTAGTTTGTGAGACATTATAAATATTGGAGGTGTTCGAACACGCATTATATCAAATCTCAAGTAATATAAATACCCTGCGGTTTTTTTTTCGCCTACGTTATTTCAAGTATAACACTATATATCGCTTCTGAATCATTTATTATGAAAATATTCGTAGGTGGCTCAGAATTACATAATCTCTTGTAAGATCAATACAATTGATTCACCTACTTGACTTAATAGACTTAGTTTTATGTATATATAAAAGATGATTATTTTATTGAAATAAAAATTTATATATATGTTTAAGGAGAAATCAGTTCTTTTTGAAGCAGAAAGTAGAAGATTTTCAAAAACTATTTGTAAGACAAAAATCTCTTTTCATATGCGAATAGATCCTTCAAAAATAAATATTACATGTTAAGAAGCCTTAGGCGTCAATAAGCAAATGTGTAAAGTATCAATAAGTCCTTGAGTCTTAATAAATTGTAAATGAATTAGAAAAATCAGACTTGACTATAGAATAATAAATGATAGAAGAATTGACTTTCATTGCTTTTGTTTTCAAAACCGTAAAAATTCCACATTTTTAAGAAAAAATATATCTATTTCTATTAAAACATGATCAGTTATTGATCATGCGATAAAATAAAAAAAGTTAAGTATTCTAGTCTTTCTTTTTTTCTGAATGTAAACGTACTTATTTGACCTACGTAGAAAATTTTTGTAACCAACAAAAGTTGATCAATAAAACAAATGGGATTTTTTTTCTCTTTCTTATAAAATATAAACGTGTCTTATTCAATTGAAAGAAGACAAAAAAAAATCAAACATATATGATTAATTTTCTAGATGAAATTTCATGGTGGAACATGTGAAAATATCTATGGTGAATTACTTGACTATGAAATAATACAACATGAAAATAATTTAAGTACTGAATGTCGATTAGAACGACGAACTGTACATATACAAAAATGGATTCTATCGACAATTATTTTTACTTATTTAGCTGCTCTTATTGGTATTCATAAAAAAGTAAAAATACTGTTTCTTTAGTCTATATTTATGTATAAGTGAATTATTTTAGGATAGTAGTTTATTATTATTCCTATCAATTATTTTATTAGCTGGTGTATTAATAAAAGCTTATTTAAAAGTAAAACGTGGTATGATAATTTATTTATTGATTTTATTTTATAATGAATAATCGAAATGATTTTAAAGACAATATTCGAATGTATACTTGAAGTTTTTCAGACATTTCTGCTTCATCAGTTAGATGCGGAAGCTTTTAATTCAATATTCTGAAAAACAGACTTAAAATTAAATAGAGCAGCATTTTAGTACCTTGTAGTCTCCATGACAATTTATTTGACTGTATTGAAAATTGTAGTTTACCAAGAGTCTGACGATCAGAACCGAAGCTTTAGGTTCTTGTGAATTCGAATAAGAAAGTCAATAACATGAATGGCGAATTTTACTTCTAAGGATCAGCAATAGAGTTATAGATAGTACTTGAGAGTAATGATCATAATGGAATGTTTCTATAGACGGTATGTATAAGATAGATTTGAATAGGATCGTCCCTGTTAAGCTTTTTTGGTCTAAAGTTATAAGTATTTCATTTCTCATCTTATACATAAAACTCACAATCAAAGATAGGATCGAGATAGCAAAAACTATTGCTTAAAATGTTTTTTTATCATTCATTGAATAGAATGTGTAATTGTTGGCAATCAAATTGGGCTACAATTAACAACAACGTATGTTATTGGACGACAAACCACAACATTTATAAGTTCAAATCGAATAAAAGATATATTAATAAATGAAGGTTTTGTTTCTGTATGTATTCTTTATTATTCTTCTAAATTTACTGATTTTTTATTTTATTTTTCTATATGATTAGCAACGTTTAATTTATTATTTGACATTAATGATCAATGATAGTGATAAATCTATGTTACCACTTTTTGTTAAACTTCTTCCACGTTTATCTTTATTAAAAATATTCTATCGACATTTGTATTCTGCTATACATGAATCAAAATAAAACTTTGTCTACTTTTTTTCTTTTCAGATTATATAAAAATGAATTTGCGGTACGAGGATCAACAGAGGCGTCAGCAACTGTTGACCATCGTGGACCGAGGTAATGCTGAGCAATTATTTGTATGTTATTTTTTTAAAACAAAACTTCAAGAAAATAATTTCTATTATTTATTTTTAGAGCTTTTTACAGCAATTTCATCGAAAACCATTTCGAAGTTTGGCAGAAGTTATAGCATTTGATGCAGTTATTGATGATCAAATTGATTTTATTGATTGTACAGGAACGAAATATAATGTAACACCATTAATTATTGCTTCAGGAAAAGGTTCATATGAAAAAACAAAAATTCTTCTCGTACACGGAGCTAATCCAAATAAACAATGTGCAACAGGGTTAGTTAAAAAAAAAGACTTCTTATTTTTACCGAAAATATTTATTATTATTTTGTAGTGATACAGCTTTAAACTTAGCTGTTCATCGTCAAAAATATCATATTGCTGATTTATTACTTAAATATCATGCAAATCCAAATGTACCAAATCAATCAGGAAAAACAGCATTACATCGTGCGGCTGTATCGTATATTGATGAAAATGCTAATCATATACGAGCATTACTTTATGTAAGGAAACACGAGATTATTAAATTCACCAATATTAGTAAATTTTGTTTTTGCTTATTAAGGCTGGAGCTGATCCAACAATTGAAGATCGAAATCAACGAACGCCACTTGATGAAGCTGTTGTTTCAAATAAACCAGGTATAATATTCAAATAAATTACTGTATTCATAATGTATTCGATAGAAATTGTCAACGCTTTACTTTCTCATGATCGAACTTTAACACAACGAGCTTATCGAGCAGCAATTATTGCCGCTCGTCTTGGTAAATCTTTTAATTTTATTTTTCGACTATATTTAATTTAAATTTTACAGGTTATGATAAATGTTTGGAAGCATTACTTGATTATGGTATGGATCCAAATATTACGGATCGAACACGTACAACTCCATTACATATTGCGTAATAGAAAAATTATAATTTTAATTTCATAATTTATTCATTTTTTCAAAATAGAATTCGTTCATTAAAATTATCGACAGCTCGTTTATTAGTTTCTCATGGTGCTGATCAAAATATGACAAACAATCGAGGTGAAACACCGCTAGGTATCGCTGAATATCTACAAACTGATCAAAAACAATCATTTATTAATGTACTTGCTAGTAAGTATATATTAGAAAAGATAATCTTCGTAGAAAATTTAAAAAAAAAACAAAATATATAACAACATATCCCTCATCCACTATAGCATCCGAAATGAACGAAGCGAGAAAGAGAGAATGGGTAACAAGAGCAAATCCAAATTCAACAATGGGAACTATATCAACAATTATAGATGGAGGTCTGGGATAACAATGAATAGTATTTTTGTTTTAATCTTCTGCTCCTTTGTCACTGTTCTATATATCACAATCTTTTCCTTCTTCTTCATCAACGAAAATACGATGGAATTAAAGATTTTCTTTTCTATTATTTTATGTTCTACATATTCTAATTTTTATTTAGATACACCAAGAGTAGGACCATCGGATTATCGTCGATATACAACCAGTACTTCACATGGTATGAATAAATGAAAAAGAAATTCTTTGTGTGTTTTGTGTGTCTTTTAAAATCAAACTAACAAATCTGACTTTTAGCATTTGTAAACACACGTATTGATCAGTAAGTGTCCCTCACAGATGCACGAGCATATCATTTTGTACATTGTATAGTTTGCACTGTTTACTAAATGGTTATTTTTCTTTTTCGTTAATTTGCTAATGCTGCTCATTTTGCATGTTTTTTTATTTGTTCAAATTTTATATGATTTAATTACTAAATTTATTATTATTTTAAGCAAATGTTATTCCATATGTTCATCCATTGCTTCGTAGTCATCGTAATTGGACATTAGATAGTGAAGAATTTCGAAGTAATACTGATATTAATTCATCTGTTCAAAATCTTCTTGATAGTAAGATAAGATTTTAAAAAGAATTGATTAACAAAACCAAATTTTCATCTTAGCTTCAAATGGAACTTTTTGGTGTTGTACACAGAACAAAGATGCTTGGGTAATTTTTGATTTAAAACATCAATTTAATATTAGTGGAATGAGAATTATTGGATGGTATAAAAACTAAAATAATTCTTTCGATTGACTTCCTTTTTTTGTGTCTAGTGAAAATCAATCAACACCAAAAACTGGTCATATTGATGTATCAAATGCTTTTAATGGTCCTTGGCTAAAAGTCAAAGATTTTACATGTCCACTATCTCGTATGTTCGATTAAATAATTTCTAATTATAGTCAAGCGCCAGAATTAAGTATACGAATGATCTACTCTCTCTAGACGAAATTTTATTTTAGATTAAGGGACTTCAGATCTGTAGTTTGAAATACAGTGCAAATAATTTCGTATTTACACTCCAACGATGCGCAAATAGAATCGTGGATTTACATATGCAAATAAGAGGAATTTTATTAGTTTTCACTTTATTAAACATCACAGTCTAATAATCTAATAAAATATACGAAAACATATTATAATTTTGAACTATAGATCTGAAGTACCTCGATTTAAATCAAAGTTCGTAGATCATTCTTTTGGATGTTTGTTAAAGATGTCCTAACTTGACCTCTTTCGATTGATGTAAACTATTATCATTTTTGAGATATGCGTGTTATACCAACTGTATCTTAATTCTGGCATTGACAATAAAAGTTGTTTATTTTTCATATTTATTTCTTTTTATAGAAGCAAATAAGAATGATTTATTTTTTGCACCATTGAAAACTCGTTTTATCCGTGTATTTATATCGGATAATTATGGCGGAAATGATATCCGTATACAAGGCATTGGATTCTATGGAGTTGATATGCGTCTAGTAAATGCATTACGAGAATATGGACTTGAACGAAGTCTTCAAACATTATTAGCTAATGTAAAGATTTAATACAAAAAAAAATAATGTAACTTTTTTTTTGTTATACAATAGGGTATTAATGACCTTGAAACATTGGATGAAAAACGAGATGAAATTTTGAATTCATCAGTAAGAGTTATTCAAAGAAATTTTGATAAACGAAAAAAAATTTTCTATTTAGGATAAATATTTGGATGTTAATGATCATTTTCAGTTCATTCGATTAACAGATTCATTGAGGGGTAAGTTGAAATAAATAGGTTGTTTTGTTTTGATGATGAGTTTGTTTTAAGCACCTACATTAACTTTTCTGGAATGGTTTAATCCACCTCAATCGATGGTTATTGCAGGTGAAAAATTGCAAACATTTAGTGCTGCTAGTGATGAAGGCTTAACAAATCGTGTTCAATTAGAAGAGAAACGTAAGAAATTTAATTAAAATAATAAATAATATTATCATCTGATTTTTCAGTCGAAAATAATACAAATATAAGAACAGTACTTTTAAGAGATCTGGAACCAATTCAAGGACGTTCATTAGTTGATTTTCCTGATTATATGATTAAAGATCGTTCGTATTCTATTAAAATTTTTAATTCTATTATCATTTTCTCTTCATTTTTATAGCTGGTAAATACAAAGTACGAGTTGTAAGTGTTGAATCACCTGAGATACAAACTCCATGGCAAGATATAATTGTCGGTAAGTTTATTTGTTCTATAAGATACTCAGTTTTTTTTGGTGTCTCTCAACGTGTTATCTATCCTTGTGTTATTAAATTATATACACATTTCTTTTTATTCTTATCAGTATAGAATACTTTTTTTTTAAAAAATGTGTAAGTCTATTATCATAAATGAAATTGCGCTTGTGATTGCTACTACCTGCTGCTACTGTTGTAATTCTATTGATCTGTGAGTAGGTTACTAAAATCAATATCAATAGTTATTTCGCTCGGTCGACATCTATTCTTTCCTATAATTACTTCTATTCTATAAAATCAACAACAATAATAATATAGTAGCTGTATTTTTAATTCAATGTCACAAACGATTATACATAGAAATAATCATACAAAAGATGATAATGATATATTAATTTATGATTATCCACTGGGTGGTAAAGTTAAATATTTAACACCAAGAAAATATCGTGTAACACAACGTGCACAATTACCTAATGTTTTTCCAACAACTAATATTGAGGATGAAAACGAATTGAATGCAGGTGATTATACTTTAACACCATCAAAATATCGTATGAACAAAATCAATCAAGATAATACATATATTAATGAACAATCTAAACAAGAATCTCATGAAAATATTCGTCAAAATATCAATGAACTAATTGAGAATAATGAGTCAGTTGTTATAGGTGATTTTATATTAACTAAAAAACCAGTGGAAGATAAGAGTATCTATAGTTATAAACCTAAACATACTCATACGTCCTACATATACAAAGGTACTCTAGACGCGTCTGAAGTACAGGAACGTGCTAAAAATAATATACAAGAATATATTAAACAACGTAGTCGATCATCATCACCAACTCGTGCTCATGAGAGAAATATTGATTTACATACACCTCCAATACCATCTAATAATGATTCAAAATTTGATTTTTCGTCAAATATGGTTCCATCAACAACACATTCACATACTACTACGATAGATCAAAAGAATATATATTATTTCGGTGAAAAATCTGGAAGTTTTTCAACAAACGAAGACGAAGATATCTCGAATGAAAGTCAATTGTGTGTACTATTTAATCGTCCTGTACACGATACACTAATTATCAAAAATCCACCACGATCAATTTCTACTCATTCGATCAATGATAATAATAAGAATTTTACTGTTCAAGAAGTGATTGATATTGGAACATCAACAGATGATTTTTTATTAGATGCAACAAACGATGATCAAACAAGAACTATTAGTAAACAACTTTCGTTAGTTACAAATCAAAGTTCTCGTACTGAAGCAGAAACATATAGAGTTAATAATACAAATATGGAACATGAAAATTATGAAGATTACTCTGTTAATCCATTATCAATAGTTAAACATCCCGGAAGTCTTTCTTCGAGTTATACAACAACAGATCGTCCGTATATGAATTTAAAGGAATCGACTACATACGAAATCAATGATACAGATAGAAATCAAGGAAATTATTATGTCAATGATGATGGTAGTTCTCGATCTAGTGCAAGACCTTCAGCAGGAATTCAAAATTTATCGAGAAATAATCCACTTGCTAGAGAACCACCGTCTGAATATCAAGGATATGGTGGAAATAATTATCAACCAGATCCAAGTATATCTGTCCAATCGAGCAGAAGCAATAGATCACGTATAAGTTTATCAAATGTATTTCACCGAAAAAAAAACGTTGAAAAACCAAAAAAAGAAAAAAAGCAGAAGAGATAAAATGAAAAACCCAGACATTTAGTTTTATTATGTTTTTTTCCTTTGTGATTAAGTAGATATTCTTTTTTTTTCTTTTTTTCAATATACCGTTTTTCCGTCTTATATTAATGATAATATATCAAAAGAAGAAACAAAAGCCTATTTTAGAATGACAAAAAGACAATGTCAATAAGAGACTCGAAAAAAGAATGTGATAAAACATTGAAGTATATGCGTAGGCACAACGACTTTTATCAGTTCGAGACGAAAAAAAATATATATCTTTGACTTTTATTCTTGTTTTATAGCCTCAAAACCAACAACTTTACCTTCAAAAACATCTGACAATCAACAAGGCTTATCTTCTAATACAACAATTCATCGGCCAATTTCAACAACACCGACTGATTTAGATGATGATGAAGTAGTAGGTATTACGACTGTTTTTAATAATCGATCTCAACGCTTTCCTCGAACACCAAGACCATATCGTCGTAATTCATTTGACGATAGTAAAGAAGAAGACGAGAATTCTGATGCAATGCAACGACGTGGTGATAATAATACATCAAAAACAAGTGTACAAAAAGCAAAACTTATTGATGAAAGTACTCAATCGGAAGAAAAATCTACACGAAGTATTGGTATAATGCATGAACCAGTTAAAACAAAAAATTTTGGTAATGAAGCTCAACCACAATCATCAGCAACACAAACATCATTTTCATTAAAAGAAAAACCATCAAAAGCACGATTCACTTATATAGAACGATCTGAACAACGAAAAACACCAATCGATGAACTTTATACAGATTCACAAATGTCTCCTCGACTACGATATCCACTTAGAGAAGATATTGCCTATCCTCGATATGAAAAAGTACCTTATGAGTGCTCCACACGAAGATCTCCACTTACAACGAACTATCCATATGATGAACAACAACCCTATTATCATGCAGAATACAATGATCATGAGGATCATCATCATCATCATCATTCTCCTTCACCAACTTCATATCGTCCCACGAGTACAACACTATATCGATCTCGTACACCATCACCTCAACGTCAGCCTTACATTCCAACACAATTACCTCAACGTCGACCTTATACTCCCACACAATTACCTCAACGTCGAACGCATACTCCTTCACCTACACATCAGTTACGAGGTCCTTCACCACAACGTCGACCACGATCAAATGTTCCACGACATCGACCAGTGATGCGTTCACAAGAAACAGATACAAGTTTAGATGCAATGAAACAACGACAAAATGCAGGTGTTCAATATGAACCTCGATCAACGAAAGAAATAGGAACTACACCTAGTTTACGAACAAAAACTCAAACAACGAATTATCATTCAAAACCTCTTAATACATCGATATATTCTCAACAAAACTATCCTACAACATCACCATCATCTAAACATCATGATCTTTCACAAAATAATTTTCATATTCAATCAAAAACAACAGATAATTATAGAAATTATTATCGAAAAGAAGAAGAAGAAGAAGAATATGAAGAAGAAGAGGACGATGACGAAGAAGAATCACCTTCAATGCATGATAAATCAACAATGGCTGAACTTACTGTTAGTTTTGATCATTATACACAATGTGACTCACAACCTTTTATGGCTGATCGTTATATTCAAACAACACCAACAGAAGATAAACAAGGAAATATGTATGAATATGTAGAACAACCAGATATTCGACAATTACCACGTCGTACTTCAACATACATTCCACAACCGGTTATTATTCAACCTGATACATTACCACGTATACGTCGTGCACAACATTCTCCAACACGTCCAAAACGTGATGGACTTGATTATACTGGAGGTATTCTTGAAGTTTCACTACAACATGGTCATGTACAACGAACAACACCTATACCTGAAACACCCTTACTTAATATCGGTACGGAAAATATTATTCTTCATTCATCTACAGATGAATATACTATTCCATTTGAAATACGTTATCCACATGATTCTTTCCCATCAAGATCACGAAATAGTCCATATATTATACCTGTTCATGAATCGCCACGAACTCGCATAGTTAATAGTAGCGCTGTACGTCAATCACAAAATAATGGAAATTTCTTTTTAACAACGGCACCATCACGTCCATTAAATTCATTAGTACATATTGATATAGCAACTGATGAATATTAACAAAATTCAGTTTTTTTTCTATGTTGTATTTTGAGCTTTAACTATCTTGTGTCGATGATAATTAGAATTCTGTTGAATTTTTTTTGTATGTAGAAATGACAACCACCGGTTCTTTTGTTTATTCAAATATTTTTGCTACTATATAAAACTATCTATTCTATACATTATTATTTATTTATTTTCGTCATTGTCTTATTAGCCCGTGATGATAAGGAAACAGTACATTTTTCTCTTTTTCTTCTTCTTCTTTTTCTTCATTTTTTTTTGTATTGAACTAGCCTTCTCTTATAAGTAGTGAACAGTGATGATATGATTTTTTTTTCGTCTTCTCATATTGTGCATAATAAAGAATAAACAAGTATTGCTTCATATCCATTAGATCAAAAATTGAGTTTATAAACGAAGTTACTTGAATAACTAGTGACAACAAGGTTATTCTCTTCTTCAACATATATTTCGATTTGTTGTTTTAAAACTAAACCACTGATGACTAATGAGGGTATGGGTATGGGTGTGAAGTAGGCAAAGGTACACAAACATGTTGTTTTTTATCAATTTTATCTAGTTGTATTCTATGCATAGTGTTACCGATGAGCTAAATATTGTTTTTCACGCTACTACTAATAGCAACATTGAATAACCTTCATTAGCGAAGGATTAATAGAGCAAACAAAATTGTATATAACCAGTGCATAACAATAGTAGGACAAAGTTATAATATTTTTTTCTTTTCGTTTCACCTGAAGGCTCGAAATAACACGTGTAGAAAATAAAATATTCTAATAACGTTAATAGCGATCGATAATCGAACATTATTCATCATTACGATCAGCGTTATTTCAATTCGAAATACACAATTATTTTCACTGTTACGAGAGAAACGAAATATAATTATTGTTTAATATAAAATGGGACAATGTATGCCGAAATGTCTCAAACCAAGTATTTCATTGGAATCGATCATTACTGTTGTCGAAGATCGAGCCACACAAACAATAGTTTCTTCTATAATTTCACCTAGAACATTGTCTTTCACAAGACCATGGCAAGTTCGTATTGTTCAAAATTTCGAGTTACTCTGGTTAGACTCGAACATTGATGAGCTTGATCCAGACTTTAAATATTCACTTGCTCAACTGCGACGAATTGTCAATTCAATTCATACATTTACTAATCCTGATTCATGTGTGAATTTTCTCAATGAAATAAAAAATGAAAAGGCATTTTTACTCATATCGGGTAGATTTTGTCAATCAGTCATACCAGTTATTCATGATGCAGCTCAACTTGATTCTATCTATATATTTTGTGAAAATAAGTCAAAATATGAACAGTGGGCTTTGGATTGGACAAAGATAAAGGGTGTTTTTACTCAGATCGAGACTATTTGTGATGCACTAAAACAAGATACTCAACAATGTAATTATGATTCTGTTTCTATCAGTGTGACAAGTAAAAATGTGGATCGTTTAGAACCATCATTTATGTATACACAGTTGCTCAAAGAAATACTTCTTGATATGGAATATGATGATACGGCAAAGACAGAACTTGTTGAATTTTGTCGAGAACAATTTCATGATAATCCACATGAATTGCAAATTATCGATGAATTCCAACGAGATTATCATGTTCATACACCTATCTGGTGGTACACTTGTGAATGTTTTACTTATCAACTACTTAATCGAGCTCTTCGTATACAAGATGTTGAAATTATTATCAAAATGGGGTTTTTCTTACGTGATGTTCATCGACATCTTAAAGAATTACATTCAGAAATCGATCCAAGCATTTTTATTACTGTTTATCGAGGTAAAAGTATGCCAATTGCTGATTTTGATGAGATAAAAAATCGAAAAGATGGTCTATTAGCATTTAATACCTTCTTATCGACGAGTCTAAATGAAGAAGTTTCATTACAATTCGCTAAAAAGTCACTTAAAAAGGCTGGTACAATCGGTGTTCTTTTTCAAATTACTGTTGATCCATCGGTTCCTTCAACTCCATTCGCCCCAATTAGAGCAGTTAGTGCTATTCCAAGTGAAGATGAAATCTTATTTTCTATGCACACTGTATTTCGAATCGCTGAAATTAAACAGATTGAAGAACGTCTTTGGCGTGTAGAACTTACATCCACAACTGATGATGATCAAGATCTCAAACGACTCACTGAATACATGCGAGAAGAGAAATCAAAATCAACAAAATGGGAACAACTAGGTTATTTGCTAATCAAAATGGGAAATTTTGATAAGGCTGAAGAAATTTTTCATATATTACTCGAACAGACATTCAAAGACGATGAACAATTACATCCTTCACTTTATTCTTATCTTGGAGATATAAAATGTAGCAAAGGCGATTATAAAGGAGCACTTGAATTTTATGAAAAATCACTTGAAATTCGACAAAAATATCCCGATACAAAACCATCTGATCTCGTTCATAATTACAACAACATTGGTCTAATGCATGACAATATGGCAGAATATTCGAAAGCATTAGAGTTCTACCATAAAGCTTTTGAAATCGGAGAAAAATCTCTTCCTTCAAATGAAATTAGTTTAGCTGAAACTTGCAATAATATTGGTGCAGCATATTGTCATTTGGGAGATTACACGAAAGCACTGGAATTCTATGAAAAATCACGTGAAATTTGTATTGAATCTCTTCCTACAAATCATCCAGATTTAGCTACTGTTAACAGCAACATCGGTGAAATTCATCACCGAATAAAACAATATTCACAAGCAGTAACAGCTTACGAAAAAACACTTCAAATCCGACAAAAAATTCTTCCACCGAATCATCCAGATCTAGCTATTATTCATAACAGCATCGGTTTATTGCATTGCAATATGGGAGAATACTCGAAAGCACTCGAGTCCTTTCAGATGGATCTAGATATCAAAGAAAAATCTCTTTCTCAGAATCATCCTAACTTCGCTATTACATACAATAACATGGGTTTGGTGTATTCTAATATGAAAGATTACCCAAAAGCACTTGAGTTTTATCAAAAATCGCTTGACATCAGCTTAAAATCTCTTCCACCAAATCATCCAGATTTAGCTACTACTTATAATAACATCGGTTTAATACATAGTGCAATGGGAGACTACTCAAAAGCACTAGAATTTATTGAAAAATCACTTGCAATCAAAGAAGAAACTCTTCCTTCGAATCATCCAGATCTGGCTGCTAATCATAATAACATCGGTTTAATATATTGGAATATGGGAGAATATTCAAAAGCACTTCCATATTACGAACGTGCAGTGGAGATCGCAGAAAATACGCTATCTCAGAATGATCCAGTATTGGCTTCTATTCTTAATACTATCGGCTTGGTACATATTCAAATGGAAAATTATTTAAAAGCATTGGAATTTCTTAAAAAATCACTTGTAATCAAAGAAGAAATTCTTCCATCAGATCATCCAGATTTGGCTAATACATGTAATCATATCGGTTTAGTGTATTATAATCTGAAAGAGTATTCAAAAGCGCTTCCATATTATGAACGTGCTGTTGAAATTGGACAACGTGCGCTACCGCAAAATCATCCTTATCTACAAGCGTATCAAAACGTTCTTGCTGATGTACAAATGAAATGTGATGTAAATCAGTTTGATGTTTACTAAAAACACCTTAACCCAACTATCAAGAATTGGCACACCGGCTTGGTATATATATATATATATATTTCTAGAAAGGATTTATGAACTTTTATTTTTAATTAAAATATAAAACTAAATAATATTTCTTGCAAACAAGCTATAAAGTAATATCATCAATTTTTTTTCACTTCATGAAGAAGTAACATTTTAAATATGGTTAGGATTGAGAAATAGCTTTACATGATAGATTAAGCGCTTTATTTTGTAAATTTATTTCTATATTTTTATATGTAAATAACCAATAAATTATAATAGATTATGGAATAGTTTTTGTATTTGTATCTTCTATTGCTTATTCTTATGTTTCAAGTAAGTTAATGGTGATAGAAATGTATCATTTAGAATGTTAAGCCTAAAATATTGCACATTCTGAATCTGATTAGTTCACAATTCCTAGAAAAAATGAACCTGTAGTTCTACTGTAAAACGTCGAAAGAAAATGTTGAAAAAAAGACGTGGTAGATAGCGCCATTTTTACCATTCGACATTCTTAATCTTCGACGCTTTGCAGTAGAACCCATTGCACGAGTACTATAATTGATAAAATAAATCAGAATATTTTAATGTACTATAGTACTTGCATGTTCAAAAGATATTTGGAGTATCCTGTTAGACTGATCATCCTCATCTATAAATAGTTTATAATATATTGTAGATCTGATTATTTTTAATATTGTCGTGCAGTTGGAATATTCCATTTGAAGAAGTCTTGAGAAAAGTTCCTATCATCTACATGTCTCATAGCATAATGTGAATTATTCAATTAAATTACCGTAAAAGCCTCTACATTAATTAAATGATTTTTAAACAAAACGGATACTAAAATGAGTGGTAATGTAAATCCTTAACTGTATATACTAGTCTTTCAAATTTTGTTTTCACTTTTTGCAACAGAAGTAATGAACAAAACATATTTGAAAGTCTGACATGTATTTATGTATTTAGTGACTAGAGAATTTTTAAAAACAACAGTCGCTTAAATTGTAAGAAGTTATAAAAACCGTGGCTTTGCATTACCAAGTTGATATGCTATCAGCTGTCCTTACGTACTCCGTTTTTCTTACAACAGAACAAGAAAAAGAAATGTGTAAAGCCGCAAACAGTGTCGTGCTCTGGCGATATATGCAGTTTTGCTATAACTTTTCCTGTTACAACTTACTATAGGAAGGTATGTCGTTACAAATTCAAAATTGTTGAAAACCCTCTCTCTCATGACTAGCATAAGGTCTAGTAGAGGTCGGTAAACGCCAAGTAGACCGGTGTTTTCGTAGGTTTAGAATAATTAGACGCAGTTGCAGCTTAATGATCTACAGTGAATCATTAGTTCGTAGGTCCTTGAGTATCGAGGTAATTTGTTTGATCTTTCCCGAAAATTTGCTTATTAGCTTATGAAAACGTTATACTGTTGCCGGAAATTCAAACCGTTGACCACCGCGTTTTGTCAGTTTTTTCCTTGAGTACTCTTAGATTCTGTTGTAGTGCATTTGGTGGACATTTTTGCAGAAAAAATATTTATTCAGATTTATTTTTATTAGGTATCTACTATCAGTTCTTTTCGATTGGTAATCTGCGTGAATCAGTACTTATATGTTTTAGTTGTTGTTTCAAAAATGGTAAAAGAAGAAGCAAGCTATAAGTTAGTTGACAGACAAATAGTTGCACCACTCGATAATTATGATAGAGAAAGATAAAGTTTTGTTGACTCTAATGATTTATTTTGATTTTTTATTGAACAGTTCTTTTTTTAAAATTTGGTTATTCATTCGTCTTCTTACAATTAGTTAACAGGAAAGATGCCATAAGTCAGAACGTATAAATAGTATGGCTTCGTGTATCGTCGCATTGAAGGAAAGAAACAAAAGAAAATTCCTTTTGATTCTGTCTCGCAGTAGACGGTGCGGTGGGTTTTTTCAGCGTGTTGCGTTTATGAAAGGCGATACAAAATTATTTTTCTTGTTTACAGAAAAAACCAAACTACAATTATAGTAGTGTTTATATTTTAATTTTGGTGTATTCAAGAATATTTGTCTATGCTGAATTCGGCCATAATATCCGCTTCATCACACGAATTTCGTCGTGGACAGGTTCCGGTTGATAGTTCATCATTATTATCATCGATTCATTACCTTAATAATACTGTTGTTACTAGCAATAACAAAAAATTACGAAATTTCGTGGCTGAACGTATTTTCAAAAATAAGAATTTACATGCTGAAATATTGAAACGTCAAGCCAATTGCACAACTGCTGCACAATATCGTGAACAAATTAAAAAAGGCCAATTACATGATGGTGCAATCGAAATTAAGGTCTTATCTAATTTATGTGATCTATTCATTCGGGTAGTTTCAATGAAAGAAAACTATCCAGACAGTACAAATTTACCATATTTGGAATATGGGGACGATGCAAAAACAACCAAGAAGTGTGTTTACATCCTCTATGATGAAGAGGCAAAACATTATGATCCATTGTACATAGTCAACAAAGATATTGAAGCTGAAAAATTAACAATTTTTGAACGTGATAACACAGAAACGTTATTAGATCTTCTACGTACGTTTATTCAAGAAAAACTTCATGGTAAGAAAAATATATTCAGACAACAACAAAAAACAATTTTCTTGTTTTAGGTGTTAATTCTAAAGAATCAGATTGTTGCATTTCATCTTGTACAACGGAATCTCCAACTCAGATAAAGGGTAAACTACCAATATTGTTATTTTCTTAATATTATATTTTTTCTCTCATAGATTTCAATGCAGGTGAACATTTAATGGATATGATTACTCTGAAGGCTGATAGAAGTTCACCAGTTAAACGAAAATTACCAAGTAAAATTATAAAGATGTCTTTCTTTCATAAATCTAAATATTTTATAGATTATCAGGAATTAACGTTGGGTCAAGATATCGAAGAACAATTATCATCCGATGAGAGTATTCGTTAGTTAGAAGTATTTTTAGAATATTTATATTTCATGATAATTTATTTATAGTTAATGATCAAGAAGCAAAACATGCAAAAATTGACGAAGATGAGTTCTTGGAATCTCGTAGGTTAATTTCTTAAAATTTCATATAAAATTTGAATATAATAGTTAAAACCGATTCGGAATTCCTAACATTCGAAGAACTTTTCCAAACAGATTTTGTTGCTTCTGAGTTTGGTATGTATGAAACACAGAATGGTATCTTTTATAAGTTCAAAAAACATTTTAGAACCACAGATCGAACAACAATCAACAACGAATAGCCCAGCAGCTTTAAGTCAGTTAATAAAAATGCTATTGGAAGTAGATATTGCTGAAGGACATCGTGGTCGTACACGTGGTGAATTTATACCTAAAAAATCGGTAAAACGTAATGGTCAACCATCAGAACTTGGACCACCGCGTTATTTTTCTGATCAAAATGGAAATACTTATCTAAATTTATTGGTTTGTTTTTTGTTGGTAACAGTTATGCAATATCAATTTTTTATTTTATTTAGATGGCAGAGAGAATTTTCTCAAATAATTTGCATCAAATTTACCTTGAAGTTGTCATAATTACAGACGAAATCAATGGCTATGCGTATATTAATCCATACTTTAAATTTATGGTAGCGCCTAATGATCCTAAAGTATCACCGGTTCTTAATCCAATATATATGTTTGTGGATCATAAAAAAGAATTAAGTAGTTATTCAGACATGCTGCGTCAATTGAAGTGATTACCATTCTATTAAACGAAATAAATATGATAGTCATTATATTTTAGGCTTCGACTAGTTGTCTATACGCTTACACACAGAGAGTTAATGGACTCTAAGCAACCTTTAACCATTTTTTCATCACCCAAAAATGATAATGGTGAGCTGTATGATTTAACATGTAGCACTCTAATTAATTTTATAGGTCAACAAGCAATTACAGCACGATTTAACACACAGAAAACGTTTAAAACTGCTTATGATCTTCATAAAATGCGATTCGCCTTTACTTTATGGACAAAACAAAATGGTGAAAAAGAATTTAAACGATGTGGAGATACACAATATATCAGTTCGATTTCAACTGAAGATAGAACATGTAAAAGATAGACATTAAATTTTAGTCATTAATTTTCTTATTTTTTAGATACGAAATCCTAAAAATTCATAAACACGTCATAATACAACAATTATCATCATTAAACTACTTATTCTAGAATCAGATTTAATCCAACATGAACAATAACAAGATTAATTATTTAAATATTTACATTTCTTTTTTTTTTGTTAAAATAAAATTCTCCGTAATGTAAAAGTTTTTAAAATACGAATATATTGAATATAATTGATCACAATAAATTTATCTTTGTATGCAATTGTCTGTATATGAAAAACTATGTAGGAATAGATATGTCAAAAAAAAAATAAATGCAATAAAATTCAAAACACACTGGACAAATATGTTTTTACAAAACAAAAAAAAATATATATGTATAAACTAATGTTCTAGAATAATTGAATTGTTGACGATTTATAGTTACACGATTGATTGTTGTCAAATTATCCAAAGTATGATTATAATTTTTTTTGTTTATTAGTCGAAGGTTATTGTTGAATATGTTTAACAATCTGGTCAAGGTTTATGCATTGTCTAATACTAAACCTACAACATCCATATCAGCAAATATTGCTAATGGAAATATTTCGTTAGCATAATTAGCCACTCGTTCTTCAAGTAATGCACGATAATGTGCCATTTCTGCAATCCCATCCAACTCAGGATCGAAATCATCATGCGTGGGCAATTCCTCTTCAAGTTCTGCACGATAACGTGCGACTTCCGCGTTCATATCCAAATGAGGATCAAAATGAGCATGTCCGGTGTCTTCTTCCTCTGTACTATAACCTCGTACTAAAGCACTTACAATCAATTGATTCGCACGACGACGAGCACGTGCTCGTTTAACAAGTCTATAAATTCCAACTGTTGGTAAAATAGTTACAGCTGCTGTTACAGCACCAACAGCAACGATCGGTGAAGCAATAACAACACCAGTTGCAATCGTACCACGTATAGTTCTTCGAAGCCATGGTTTGTCTGGATGAAGATTCTTGGGACATCCAAATACACTATTAAAATAAATTGATGAAAAACAAAACAAAAATAAAGATAAAGAAAGTCAAACCTGAATTTACTACCATGTTGACCAATAAATGGAATTTTACAATAACGTCGCCCACATAAATAACAAAATTCACATGCACATGATGAACATGTCATATGAGGACAACCTAATTTAAAATTTATGAATAAAATAGAAAAATTTTCTATTATTTTGTCATACCTCCATTACGTTGTATAAATGTCGAACATTTTGGGCATTTTCGGGCATTCCGTTGTTCATCATTTTCTTGATTAACCCATTTTAATAGAAGTTTATCACCTTTTATAAATTGTTTACATGTAAAATTTTCATGCCACGGTGCTGAACAACGAAAACACCAAACAAGGAAACATTCGGAACATTGAACTTGTTTTGGAATTTTTTTAGTATTAATTTTATCTTTCGATTTTTTATCAGTTTTTGTTAAAATTATTGGATTTATTTCATCAAGTGAATAAAGATGGGAACAACGAGGACCTAAAAGAATATACGTAATAGAAAAAATATCATTGAATTAAAAAATTTTATTTACAAGTTTTAGCACGTGGACTTTGATTGGCATTTGCATAAAGTTTAAGATAACGATCATGTAATACTGAATCATGACGCATAAAATTCATTATTGATTCTCTTCTTAAACATTTATTACAGTCATTTGACATACAGGGAATTTTAATTCGACCATCATTTAATGTCGCTGAAATATGAGAACA